CTGGAGTTGGCGGTACTGCTGCTGGAGCTGGAGACACTCGTGCTGCTGACACCACAGGCCCTGGAGGTGCTCGTACTGGAGGTACTCGAGCTGCCGGGGCCGGTGGTGTTGGAGGAGGTCCTGCTGTAGACTCTGGTACTGGAGGTACCGGGTCTGGGGGTGCGGCTGCTGGAGGTGCTGGTGCTGGAGCTGCTGGAGGTGCTGCTGGAGCTGCCGGTGGACCTGGTGGAGCTGCTGGAGCTGCTGGTGGTGCTGCTGTTGGTGCTGCTGGTGCTGGAGCTGCTGGAGGTGCTGCTGGAGCTGCCGGTGGAGCTGGTGGAGCTACTGGAGCTGCTGGTGGTGCTGCTGTTGGTGCTGCTGGTGCTGGAGCTGCTGGAGGTGCTGCTGGAGCTGCCGGTGGAGCTGGTGGAGCTACTGGAGTTGCTGGTGGTGCTGCTGTTGGTGCTGCTGGTGCTGGAGCTACTGGAGGTGCTCCTGCTGGTTCTGGGGGTGATGAGCGGCCGCGGCCGTACTTCGTTCCGCTCCTTGAGCAGGTTCTTGGTCTCCCGCCTTCTCTTAGTCCACCCCCTTCCTTAGAGTGTCCACCGCCTGTCCTGTCGCCGTCACAGCTACAGCCCACCTCCCCACTGCCTGCTCCGTCTCCTTACGCTGGTCCGACAGGAGGTCTTGCTGAGCGTCATGAGCCTGCGTCTCGTCCTGCGTCGCCTGTCCGTGCTGCTCGCACTGGTGGTCGTAGTTCGCGTCAGCGTTCTCCTCCTGTCCCCGGCACGCACCGGATGACTCTGCGTCCTTCCACTGTTCCGCAGCGTGCCCCTCTGCCGTCTCCTCCTGAGTCCTCTCTTCCTGCCCTTGCTGACCCGGAGTCTGACTCCCTTCGTGCTGCTAGTCCCACTGTCACGCGTCTCCTGGCTACTGTTGTCACTGACCCTTCCTTTGAGTCTGCTGCTGCGTCTGCGCTAGTTACCGAGCTTGTCGACTTTGCTGCTCGCTGTCGTCTAGACTACGCTGCCAGTCTTGTTGCTGAGTCTGAGTCTGTCTGTCCTCCGTCCGTCGAGGGTGAGTGTGCCCTTGGCACGGACGTCCTTGAGGACAGGCAGGAGGAGTTCCAATGTTTGGCTGCTGCTTCACCTCATCTCGTGTCCATGCTGCTTGCCCCTGAGGGAGACCCGGATGCACTAGACATCCCGACTCCGCGCTCTTACGCGGAGGCGGTTGAGGGTCCCTACTCCTCTCAGTGGCAGGCAGCCATGGACGCAGAGATGGCTTCCTGGAAGTCCACAGGCACCTACGTCGACGAGGTTCCCCCACCTGGGGCGAACATTGTCGATGGCATGTGGATCTTCAGGGTGAAGCGGCCGCCGGGTTCTCCGCCTGTCTTCAAGGCGCGTTACGTTCCTCGAGGCTTCAGTCAGCGGCAGGGAGTTGACTACTTTCAGACCTTCTCTCCCACCCCGAAGATGACCACTCTTCGGGTACTGCTACACGTCGCTGCTCAGCGTGACTACGAGCTTCACTCTCTTGACATCAGCACAGCCTTTCTACAGGGCAGCCTGCACGAGGAGATCTGGCTGCGCCGCCCACCTGGCTTCACTGGGTCGTTTCCCCCTGGTACCCAGTGGAGCCTCCGGCGGCCAGTCTACGGTCTCCGCCAGGCACCTCGTGAGTGGCACGACACACTGAGGACTACACTTGCGGCTCTTGGGTTTGCTCCTTCTACTGCTGACCCGTCGCTGTTTCTACGCACCGACACTTCGCTGCCGCCGTTCTACATCCTCGTGTACATCGACGACTTGGTCTTTGCTACTGCTGACACTGAGGCACTGACTCTAGTGAAGTCGGAGCTGCAGAAGAGACACACGTGCACAGACCTGGGTGAGCTGCGCAGCTATCTTGGCTTGCAGATCACTCGGGACAGAGCACGCCGCACCATCACTCTGACCCAGTCACACATGGTGCAGCAGGTCCTTCAGCGCTTCGACTTCCAGTTCTCTTCGCCACAGTCCACTCCTCTGCCTACTGGTCACTCGCTCTCAGCTCTGCCTTCGGATGAGTCCGTAGAGCCGAGTGGCCCGTATCCAGAGCTTGTGGGCTGCCTCATGTACCTGATGACCTGCACTCGCCCTGACCTCGCTTACCCTCTTAGCATCCTGGCACGCTACGTTGCGCCCGGGAGACACCATCCAGAGCACTGGAAGGCAGCTAAGAGGGTGATGCGTTACTTGTGCGGTACGTCAGGCATGGGGCTCGTGCTTGGAGGACGGGGTCCAGTTGTCCTCACTGGTCACGCAGACGCTTCTTGGGTTGATGACTTGGCTACGCAGCGGTCGTCACAGGGTTACACCTTCAGCCTTGGCTCCGGTTCTGTCTCTTGGCAGTCTACCCGCTCTTCTTCTGTTCTCAGCTCTAGGTGTGAGGCTGAGATCTACGCAGGGGCCATGGCTGCACAGGAGTTGCGTTGGCTCACCTACCTGCTGACCGACTTGGGCGAGGTGCCTCGTTCTCCTCCAGTTCTGTACGTCGATAACAAGGCAATGCTTGCCTTGTGTCGCGAACAGAGGTTGGAGCACAGAACGAAGCACATCGCTCTTCGCTACTTCCTTGCTCGGGAGCTGCAGCAGCGTGGTCAGCTTCGTCTTGCCTACGTGGCCTCTCAGGCCAACACTGCTGATGTGTTCACCAAGGCACTCTCGCCTCGTGACCATCAGCGCTTCTGTACTGCACTTGGCCTTGTTCCTGTGTCTTCTCACTTACTTACTTCTTGACCTTGCCTGTACTGTGATCTATATTGTATACCTGCATGCCTGCACTTGTTAGGTAGTGATCACTGTACTTTTGCTTTTGCATATATATTTCTGCATGCGGACTGGCCTTGTGGCCCTTTGCTTGTGCTCAGATTGTGTGGTGACGTTGTGATCCACCCTGAGCTTGCTTTGCTTCTCTTGACTGGCCTTGTTCTCCCCCACTTTGCCTATGGGGGTGTGACAAATGATATATATGTTTAGGCAGTAGTGGGGTAGCCAATATGGGGTACAGCCCCTTTTAGGGTTTCATATTTGTACCCATCTCTTTCATAGTCCACTCATTTCCTAGCCTATCCTCTTGACACCTGCAACATCGCGTATAGCAGCAGCCGTTGTTCGCCCGTTACTGCTAACGGGGCTTCGCCAACTTCGCGCGCACTGTTTCACCAAACCATGCACCGCTGGCCCGGCCGTGACGGCCTACGCTTTGGGACTAGCCCGAGCCTCGTTGCCAGCCTAGCACTAGCTAGCTCACACGCACCGTGTTACCGTTTGCATGTTTCGCATATAAATGTTCGCTCATGCCTTCGATCACATTTTGCACTCGTTTGACACTTAGGGTGCATTCCTGAAGCGCGTCACAAAGGCCTCGCGTCTCAAACAAAGAGATGCAGTGCAGTGGAAATGTTTCACACTTAGGTGTAATGCGGTGCAGACTGGTACAGCGGTTTTATGACACGATTGAGATTTGTGTCCAGAGCGGAATGCACCCTTAGTGCAATCCTCGCTACCTCGATTCATTGCACCCGTAACAGAAAGTCTTTCACTGCCGTTATGTTATGACTTCGGGCATGCCGCCTATCACCCCATATTTCAAAAATGTTGTATCTGAAACAGAACCAGCCCCATTCAGGAAACACCTGAAACAGCAGCGGTTCGGTTGATTCTTATTGAACCAGTACCTGCTGAACGAAACAGCGGACACCAGCCCCCTTCTGTAGTGGAACATCCAAATGCGAAAGAACCCTTTTCGCGACTTGCTTCGGGACGTCCTCGCGATCCAATCCGACGCAAAGATTTGCGTGTATGGGTTTGCGTATTGCTACAAGAGCATTTTATATATTTACCCGTAAGATTAAGAGTTGAATCGGGCTCATCTTAGACATTTCAAGGGTCACGTTTTAGGAGCCCGTTCCACTTTCTCGTGATTTCCCTCGCCCCGCTTAGTTATTATAGCCCTCTCTCCCATCCCAGTCGACTACAACACTAGATAGGTCTCCTGTTGAACGCAGCCAGTAGGTGCTGTTGAATTGCTAACGCAGGTTTATTGTGTTTACGCTCAAGTGATGAGACGTGCAGGCGTGGTACTAGTGTTAAACACTGAATCTAGGGCACTTCAGCCAGGTAATTTCTGGGCCCAGAGCAAGCGACACCCCTTGGTCACCACCATCCCACGTCACGACTGACTCACACGACTCACCACCACCGCTCACCAGCAGCTTGTTGGGATGCGGTGTACGTACAGTAAAAACAATCTGCCATGACCATCAACCTGAACTCCTGAAGACCTCTTCCTTCTCGCGACAGAACCGTCAGTAGATACGACCACCGCATTCCAAAGCATCCATTTCCACATCAAACCTTTGCACCGATCTCCTTACACCTAGACGCAGGATGTCACGCCATGGTGCCACCTCCATCACACACCTGAAACCACATTTGCTTCTCGTTCAAGCCATTCCACGATCACCTGCCGCACACCAGCCTGCTTCCTCGCACTCCACACCTCTCCATTTCACCCGCTCGATTCTAGTTTCTGCTTGCACCGCGCTTTGACCATCCGCACAAGCACGCATTTTCTTCTCATCCGTAGCTTGTCGCTTTGCTTGTGCTGTCCTTGGAACGGCATCACGGCGAAGCTCAGTGGGGTTTCTAAAATTCGCGTTTCGGCTTTCCTTACCCTTGTTTCACTGACTCAATCGTTTGCGATCCGCCGCTCCAATTCACGCAAAATAAACATCGCGAGCCCACCGAGGCGCCACAAACCTTTCACCGTAACATCGTCTTTAATAACCCAACAGAACTAGGTCCAACGGCTACAGCGTATACATGCTGGAGGCTCTGTAGAGGAGACTAATTGTCACGATGTCTGACTAGGTCTGACTAGTTTGACCAGGTGTGCTTGGCGGTTGAGTGGAAGGGTCTCGCGCGATTTGAAGCAGGGAGGAGGGGGAAGGGCATGAAGTGCCTACGGCGGCAATGGCGGGCAGGTTTAGCCCCTGTGGTAGTTCTGCTGCTGGCGGCGCTGCTGCTGGGGCATTGCGCGTCGCATCTGGCGCAAGCAAGCAGCAGTAGTGACAGCAAGAGCAGTAGCAGCAGCAGTAAGAGCAGTAGCAGTAAGAGTAGCAGTAGTAGCGATGACAAGGAGGGAAAGTCACTCTCCGATGTGGTTGAAGAATCTAAGAGCGGCAACAGCAGCAGCAGCAGCTCCAGCAGCTCCAAAGACGAATCTTCGAAGAGTAGCTCCTCCTCTTCTTCCTCTTCCTCTTCTCCCCCCTCCTCGTCCTCCACTTCCAAATCTTCTTCTTCCTCTAAATCGAACTCATCGTCTTCCTCCTCCTCCTCCTCATCGTCTTCTAAACCCGATTCAGAATCGTCGTCGTCGGACTCGTCAAAAGGCGATTCGAAAGACTCATCTGTATCCTCGAAAGAGTCGTCGTCAAAGGATTCGGACGAATCAAAAAGCAAATCCTCAAAGGAGGCCACTTCCGATGATTCCTCGAGCAAATCCTCATCGTCCGATCAGTCCTCGTCATCTAAAGCCTCGTTGGAAGAAGAGTCGAAAAAGCCCGAATCGTCGTCTAAATCTAGTTCCAAATCTTCCTCCTCCTCCTCCGCTTCCTCCTCTGCCAACGGTACCAGCTCAGATGCGTCAGACACGTCAGACGTCACGTCGGCCAAGTCAGATAAGTCGAGCAAATCGGGGAGCGAGGAAGAGGATAAGGCAGAAGGTGCGGGTGAGTCTGAAGCAGATGCGAAGTCGAAAGAGTCGAAAGAGTTGAAAGAGTTGGAAGAAACCGAAGAATCTGAGTCTCATGAATCAGGCGACAAAGAGGAGGCGGACGAGGAGGAGGAAGAGGACACGGCTCCGCCCTCTCTCGCTCCGCCATCCGTCGCACCCGCTTCTTCCCCCGATTCCGCTCCCGCTTCCGCACCATCCTCTGCGCCTGCCTCTGCGCCCGCCTCTGCGCCCGCTTCCGCTCCCGCTCTCGCTTCCGCGTCTTCCCCTTCTCCGGACTCCGCCCCTCCAAACGAGGCGGACGAGGCGCAGCTCGCGCCATCTTCCGCTTCCGCCCCGATCTCCCCCCCCACCCCCAGCTCTCAACCTGCGCCCTTCCCTCCGCGCACCAAGGGCCTTCTGCTGCACGCTGCGCCGGGCGTGGACTTGGGGCGGCCCGCGGGCATTCACCCGCTGCGCGGGCAGCCCGCGTGGGACGACGAGGAGGAGGAAGGGGGGGGCGCGGGGAGCGGCGCTGGCGGAAGCGGCGGCACTGTCGCCTCGAGCGCAATGGGGGAGGGCAGCGGGGGACTGGGCGGCGGCGGGGCCGGCGGCGGAGGGAGCGGCGCGTTTCCGGTGCACGGGGAGCTGACGATCTCGTCCGCCGCAACGGCGGCGTCGTCGCGCGCGTTCCAGCGCGCGTGCCAGTCGCTGACGCCCGACGCGGCGTGGATCTGCTACAAGGGCGGAGACGTGCTGGCGCAGCCGAATCTCGCGCTGTACCTCGTGTGGTACGGCGACTGGGACAACGACCGCAATGGCGGCGACAGCGGGCGGAAATACATCCGCCATTTCATCAACAACCTCGGGATGCCCGGATTGGTACGCGTGCGAGGGCGGAACGGGGGAAGCTGGGCGGAGCCGAGGGGGAGGGGGAAGGGAAGGCGGTTGGGAGGTGGGTAGGGGTGTCGGTTGGCGGGGTGTTTGCGCTGGTTGGGCAAGGGTGGTGGGGTGGGGGGAGTGGGGGAGAGGTGAGACATGCGCGCACGGGTCTTGGAGAGTCGGCGCTGAAGAAACGCCCGCATGCGCTCGTGGAGACCCTCCTTTCCTTCCCACCCGGACTCACCGGTTCTCTTGCCCCGCTTTGCTCAATCCTGTTCAACACCCCGAAATTCTCCCCGCGTGCCGCCTCCCCACCCCATCGCTTTCAGCATCTCCCTTCCAACTTCTCCGCCGCTCCGCGTCCCGCACCCCCCTGCCCGCGCGCTTCCCCTCCCCCGTTCCGCCCGCCAGGAGGGCCTGCCGTCGCCCAACAGTTGGTGGCAGATCGTGCGCCAGTACGCGGACCGCGCGGGCGTGAAACCCGGAGCGCAAGTGACTATAAAGGGCGAGCACGAGAACAAGCAGTACTCGCAGGGGCGGCACCTGGGCGCTGACACGTCGAGCGTCTTCAATATTGTCATCGATGCGATTAACGCCGGCGCGCTGCCGTTCGATCCCGCGGGCGCTTACGTCGTGCTGACGTCGGATGACGTCACGCTGGCGAGCGCGGACCAATCGCAGGTGGGTGGTTGGGTGGGACGAGGCGAGGATGGGGAGGTAGGAAAGATGGGAAGGAGAGAGAGGGGAAAGCAAAGGTGAGGGGGAGAATGGGGAGAGAGAGGGAAAAGCGTGGGGCGTGAGGCAGGGGTATGAGGAGAGGAGAGGGCCGAGAGTGGTGAAGGGGAACCTGGGAACAGGTTGGAAGGCATGCGCGTACTGGGCGTGCTACCTTCTCCGCCATGCGGGTGGGTTATGTGCCGTGTGGATTCGTGGCCCGCACGCACCTACCACCACACCACCCCTGTATACGCCATGCTCCTCATGTTCCCCCTCCTTCCTCCAACCCCCCCTTGCCCTCCTCCCCCTCCCCCTTCTCCTCCCACTCATCCTGGCACCCCTACCTCGCCTCACTGCCTCCATATATCCCCTCTCCCTCCCTGTCGCTCTTCCCCGTACCCCTCCCTCCCCCTCCCCCTCCCCCTCCCCCTCCCCCCTCCCCCCCTGCCCTGGATCCTCATTGTGCATGGCGCATGGCGCAATGCGGGCAGTCGTTCTGCGGGGTGAAGGGCAAGGGGTACTGCGGGTGGCACCACCAGTCGGGCGTCATGCTCGGCCCCAACGACAGCTACCCGCTCACCTTCACGCACGTCGGTAAGTCCGCTTTTCCTCTCCCGTTCTGTCTTGTTCCCCTCACCAGTCACTCTTGATTCCTGCCTATTCCCGCCCTACCCGTACTCTGCACCTTCCCCCTCCTCTCGCTCCCAACCCTCCCGGCCACCCAGCATCACGCTGCTCTGCCTCTCCCTCTTCCTCTCCCGCTCACCCACTCTCTCCCCCTCCTTTATTTCACCCCTCCCCGTCCTCCCCCCCCCCCTTTCCATGCCCCATCAGGCAACGCGGCGACGCAGTGTGCGGCGGGGTGCATAGGGGGCTTTGGCACGTACAAGCTGCCCAACAGCGGGTTCTGGGGCGTGGACGGCATCGTCTCCATCCTCGCCCACGAGCTCGCTGAGCTCGTCACCAACCCTGGTGGGTGCCCGCACCCCACGCCGCGCACACCTCTCTCTCATGCACGGTCATGGGACTCATGCCTCACAATGTGCGGTATATCAGAGTCATGGGCAGGTCAGGGACAGGGTGAAGGATGGCATTGTTTCCATTCTCGCCCACGAGCTCGCTGAGCTAGTCACCAACCCTGGTGGGTGGGCACCCACACCCCATCCTGGAAAGGAAAAAGGATTCTCCGTGCTGCCGTGCCACTCCCGATGAGTGTGGACCACCCCTGTGACTAACCCATGCGTGGGTGTCCGCGCACTCCTCTCCCACGACAGACACTCCCACCATTTGGTTAGTTCCCGGTCGGAGGCACGACCAGGGGTCAAGGGCTCGTGAAGGACAGGGTGTAGGTGAGGGTGAGCGGCATGAGCACGGTCACCCTGCTGTGTGGTAACGCGTGCGGCGCTGCTGCGTGTATCGCGCCCGTGCTCTTTCTGCCTCCTCGTCGCCTGCTGCCACATGGCTCTTTTGCACTCCTATGCAATAGGCCTCTTCAACTGCATGCTCCTACCACCACCCGCTCTCCCTCACACTCCCCACCCCCTCCCAATGCTCATCAACCCCACCTACTCCGCGTCCCCCTCTCCCCCCGCACTGCTCGCCGGTGCACGGCAGATGGCAAGTCAGGGTGGACGGGCAACAACGGGGAGATTGGCGACATGTGCTCGTTTGACTTTGGGGCTGTCACGGTGGGCGTGGACGCGGGAGGGCAGTCGTTCGGCTACAACATGGCCGCTGCTGACGGCTCCGTCTTCCTCATTCAACGCCTCTGGAACGCCTTTGCTCCCATTGGCCATGGTCAGTCCCTGTCCTGTGCCCTGAGCCCTCCTTCTTTCCCTCTCTCCCCACTCCCCCCTCTCCCCCTTTTCCCATCCACGACCACCATCCCTCCACAAGTCGCTCCCTGCTTCCTTGCCCCAGCTCATCCATTCTCAACTCCTTCCACCCCCTTTCCCACGCCTCTCTCACTTGACCACCGCAGGTAGCTGTGCAGTGGAGCTGCCCAAGGCCCTCACCACGCCACCCTCCTCCTCCTCCACCTCCTCCCAGAGCGTCCAATCCTCCTCCGCTTCAACCCCTCCCACCACACCTACATCCTCTCTCCCAGCAACCCCTCTCTCCACGCTCGAAGCACCCAAGCAGTGCAAGGCAGTGCAGGCTCAGGCAGCAGCGTTCACAGGAAGCATCGGCGGGGGCAACTGCTGCAGCGGGTACTCAGACGCGTTTGTGCGCGTGCCGTGGGATCTCAGCTGCAGCAGCTTCTGTGTGTGCGTGGGTGGCGTGGCCAGCTTCCAAGTGTCCTGCCCTCCTGGCACCATCTTTGACTCAGCACGCTCCCTCTGCTCTGCTCCTTCTCCCTCCAACACCTGCCCATAAGCATGCGCCGTGCAAAGGCACGCACGCACGCATGTGCACACGTGCTCTCACACACACTCAGCCACACACACATTTTAGTGTGCTGCCTTGCCTCCACACACGACAATGGTGCTCTCCACAGCCTGTTGTTCCAGTCTGTAATCCTCATTCCAGTGCTCTCTCTGTTGCTGCAGCCTGTGCCCCTTGTTCCTCCCTGGCCTCCACAGTACATGCTGACTCGAGAAAATAGTGTTGCCTGTTAGTATTTGATCCCGGTGCACCTGGAGGACTATATTGGGTGTGGCACATGAGTTCAACAGCCACCAGTTCCCCTTGAGTGACCATGTTTTTTGCTTTGTTGTACCTATTATTTGTTGTATTAATTACGCAAAGGGTGTATACATGAGTGATTTTTGCAGGGTCTACACAGGGATACGGCAGGCCTATACCAAAAACCAAAGCTAAGTACACTTCTGCACCACATAAAGCACCAAGTATAGCGGGAAGACCTAGCATCCCCTATTCCACACTCGGTGCAGCAAGGTATAGTTGATTAGGGACGGTCAGTGTCGCAGCCTCGACATTCGTTTCGCGTCTCTTCTCAACGACGAGTCGCCATGCCTCCCGCTCATGCAGCTCTCCTCCCGCGCCTTGCGCCCGCTTCCATCCTCGCTCACCCACCACCGCGCAGAGCTCGCCTCCCCCGTGACCCCTCGTTGCTCCGCCATGGGCTGCTGCCCGTTCTGCGCGCGCTGCGACGGTGCCATCTGCGTCGGGGACTTCAACTCCCCTTTCACATTCCGCGCCGCCGACATTGCTTGCTCCTCTGCGCTCCGCGCGCTCACCGCATAGAAGCTCTCGCGCGGAACCTGCTCCGACTGCGCCGAATCCTCCGTGACTTGCGCCTCTGCTGGCGGCGCGCCCTCGCTGCCCCTCGGCGGAGCATTTTCCTGTTGCTCGCTTCCGTAAGTGTCGCGCCCCTCATACCCCGCCGCGCTAGCCGGCGCATCCGAAACACGATTTCCGACCTCCCAGCCTGTAAGCGCCTGGGCGTCTCTGCTGTTTCTTGGGCTCACACAGCCATCTTCCTTGATAGCGAAGCCCACAATCCGCTTGAAGGATGCTCCACGGCTCACGGCCATATCGGGTTTGTCCGACGAGTCGTTAACCGCACGGGAATCGCGGCCGTTGCTACTCGTGCCGACGCTTGTCATTCCGCAGCCCCACCCCGCGGCACTGTCCCGCGCGGGGGACGAGAATTCACCACCCGCGGAGTCGGCGGAGGCCATTATCGCGGAAACGGAAGCGGAAGTAGCGGAATTTCCCCGGGCGAGAACCGGGGGGAGCAGTGTACCCGCGTCGAAGGAAAGGAGAGGGGTGGGGAGGAGGGGCGTGGTTGACTCGGGGAGGTTTATCCCGCGCGTGGCGCTATAGAGGCGGCCGCGCTGCTCGATGTCGCCCAAGGAGATGCATGGCGACGTGGACGCGTGCGTCACCGCGTACGACGGTGACGTGGAGCAGCACGACGGGCTCGCACTGGGTCGGGATTCGCCGTTGCTCCACGCGCACTCGCCGCTGCTGCCCGCGCAGTTGCCGTTGCAGTCGTCGCACCCGCACTGGTGCCGCGAATAAGAGCATGATGAGCAGGAGCAAGGGGAGTCGGTTTCAAGATCGTCGCCCAACATGCAAGGGGAACGGATGGACTCGGCGTGCGGACCCATGCAGGCGTGCTGATGCATCGAGGAGCTAATAAAATGCGCACTGCCACTAAGAGGCCTCCACCCGTGAAACTTGAAGCAGCAAAATACTAGAAACAGGGGAGTCTAGAATAGGTAAGAGCCGATAGATCAATCAGGGTCTGAAGAGCTGAATTCTGATACATTCAGAAAGGGATAGATCTTTCGTGAAACGAAGTTAGGAACGTGATCTTAGAAACAGGTGGAGGTGAGACGTGTAAGGACGGGTCACCCGCCCTAAAGAAAGGAGTCGGTGAATGTTTCGCTTTGTTGTCCACCAAACCAAACAAAACGCAGAGTAGCGCGCCTCGGCGATGCTTACACATGTGCGTTACGGCTTCTTTGTGTGGCAGCGCAGCAAAGCGCGCCGTGAAAGGAGGTGTCGCCTGCGATGATGAGGCACCGCGTCCGAGCCAACGAGGAAGGCGAAATTGCGCTGTAGAGTGGATTCTCGACTTTCTCTCGCCAATATTTTCGCCACTAGGGTTTCAGAGAGGGCGACACTGTTGTGTACATCTTCCTGGATTGCGAAACGAACGTTTGCCGTGATGCGAAACACATTGTTACTGGAACGCGGCTGGCACATGGTCAGATGCGCTGGTCTTGTCTCTTCCGTATCTCGCGGGTGTTGAGGATATCTTCCAGCACTGCGTCCAATGGTTGGGTTCTGGAATCCAGGTGGTCCATGCTACCACGTGGAGAGTACTGACAACCTACTTCCCCACAAAACACCAGTCCAGCCTCGCTCGCACGAACATTCGAGTCAGTGAAAGGCTGTCCACATGGCGGTGGGTGATCCCAGCTGTTTCCAGAGGCATGTACAGCTGTACAAAATGATATAGTTTCTGCTATTTCAGAATTAATAAGGACGCGTTGAAAGTGCAAATATCGCAGGATCGTCTGCATATATCGATCCCCACAATCGAATGGGCAGATCGTTTGGCGAAACGTGGCGACCGCGACGCTGTAACGATCGCGGCTGAAAATTGACAGATTTCCCACGAACAGTGATCAGTCGCATTCTCACACTGTACAGAAATTTTGGCCAGAAAGCGTACTGTAGCATGATTACAACGTCGGTAATAGGGTAACCGATCCGCACATCGATTGCTACTGACGATCGATCGTCTACTTTGACCGCGTCCTAACATCTTAAAGATTGTGTGTAGAACATATGAAGTAGTATCAGTCCACCTAGTTCATTAGTTAATAATATATTTCATTGCAACGCATTGTTGGTTCTTAGTAGTACCTGTGCAAAATATTATTATAACCATAACATTATTGTTGAAAGTGTATACAAATGCGTAATTATTTCATGAAACATGACTACGTCTCCTAGTGGAAGGCCTTATTATATTTGTGGTTGTACATACGATGGCGAAGCAGCTGTCACTTATTATGGTATGGGCATGCAAGTGATTGCATGCAGTACCATTGAAGACAAGGCGTCTCCTGGAAGCTGCTGGTGTGCTCTTTCCTGTGGTTCATTATTACTTGCACATGACAGGGATAGGCAAGCTGTGAGAGGAGAAGGGAAAGACAGGCTGAAAGCAAGTGCTCGCGTCTGCATGGGTAGACGCGAGAGGAGGAACGGGAGGAGAGAGGTGAGAAACGGAACGAGGAGGCTATGGCTTGTGGGTGCGGTCCTCGGAGGTGCGCTTGAAGACTGTCGGGAGGTGGTGTTTCGAGTGGGGCGTGCCGGCATCGAGAGGCAGCGACTGCACTCGCGAGAGCACCTCCACAGCCTGCAGCATGGTGGGCCTCGTGTCGGGGTCTGAATGGATGCACTGCGATGCCAGCACTGCCACCTGCCATGGGGGACAAGGGGGAGAGCGGGAGGAGGGGGGGGATGAGTGAGAGTGGAATGTTGTTCGCACGGTGTGAGGAAAAAGTAGAGAAAGTTGTACAGAAAGATGGAGCTGGTGCTGTGGCGATGCAGTTAGGAGAGGAAGGGGTGAGCAGGGAGCAAGGGAAATGGTTGGTGGGACAGGGGTTCAGGTGGCGTATGGGAAGGTTGAGTGCGGTGCAGTGCGTGAATGGGTAGGTACCTGGTAGAGTGCAGGGGTGGAGATGGCCCGTGCAATGAGCGGATCCACCATCCGCTCCACCAGTGACCGCTGTGTCAACCGTGCCTTGGCCTGCTCACCCACGCACATGCACCCATGTACATACACACACACACGTTAACACGGACAGAATGAGGGATGTAACGAAGGTGCATTTGTCCAGTGCCAAGGTGCATGTGCGCATCAGACGCTCCCAGGCGCCTGGGCAATCCATCACATCAGCTCTGCTCACCCAGTGCACGAGGCTCTGCTCGTTGGGAGGGCGCGTGGCGTCGAGAGGGCGTCGACCAGAGATGACTTCCAGCAGCAGCACCCCGAACGCGTACACGTCCACTCGTGGCGTTGCCTCCGCTACCCACGCCAGCTCCGGTGCTGCCGTGCCCGCTGCCACCGCCTGTTGGGAGTGGGGGGCAGGGCCGGGGAATGGCAGAGCAGGACAGGAGGAGTGGTGAGGTGGTGCGGAGGTAACAAGGTGAATACTGTCATGTTTCTCCCCTCAAAGTCCTCTTGATCCTCATCCCCCTCTCACCCTCCTCTCACCCTCCTCTCACCCCCTCTCACCCCCCTCTCACCCCCTCTCACCCTCTTCTCTACTCCCTCTCAACCCCTTCTCCCCGCCCTCGGCCCCCTCCGCCACATCACCCCATCTCAAATGCATGGCACCCGCCTGCCACCCAGGCAGCACCACCAGCACCTCACCATGTTCACAGACGCCGAATGCGCCGAGGCAGCACCACCCCTGTTGGCGCTGCTGGCACCGGCGGTGGCGGCGGGGGTGCGGGGGTGGGAGAGCAGCAGCGGCAGGCAGTAGTCGGCGAGCTTGGCGCGCATGGAGCTGTCCAGCGCCACACTCGCTGTCGTCAGCGCCGCGTGGGTCATCTGCATGGCCCGTGGGAAGAGTGGGGGAAGGGTGGGGGGAGCACGTGGGTGAGTGGGGGGAGCGCTTGGGTTCGGGGGGGTGCTTTAGAGAGGGGGGAAGCAAGATGTGAGGCTCCTGCGTGGGTGCAGAGACGCACATCAAGAGGGGGAGCGTGTGGTTGAGAGTGTGTGGTATGCAGAGGTAGGCAGGGCAGTGGTACGCAGGGGTACGCAGGGGTACGCAGGGGTACGCAGGGGTATGCAGCGCTTACCTGGGGCGTCATGGCGTGCAGGTATGCGAGCCCCTTGGCAACGTCAAGAGCGATGGCCATGCGTGTGGGCCATGGCAGCGGTGCCATGCTCGCCTCCAGGTCTGCACTAGGGGCAAGATGGTGATGGTGATGGTGATGGTGATGGTGACACAGAGGCACGCAGAGACGCACAAGGTGAATAAGAAACGGTGGGAGGAAGCGAGACACGGACAGGTGAGAGAGAGCACGCAGAGGCCAGAGGCAGGGCTGCGCAGGTGAGAGAGAGCACGCAGAGGCCAGAGGCAGGGCTGCGCAGGTGAGAGAGAGCACGCAGAGGCCAGAGGCAGGGCTGCGCAGGTGAGAGACAGCACGCAGAGGCCAGAGGCAGGGCTGCGCAGGTGAGAGAGAGCACGCAGAGGCCAGAGGCAGGGCTGCGCAGGTGAGAGACAGCACGCAGAGGCCAGAGGCAGGGCTGCGCAGGTGAGAGACAGCACGCAGAGGCCAGAGGCAGGGCTGCGCAGGTGAGAGACAGCACGCAGAGGCCAGAGGCAGGGCTGCGCAGGTGAGAGACAGCACGCAGAGGCCAGAGGCAGGGCTGCGCAGGTGAGAGACAGCACGCAGAGGCCAGAGGCAGGGCTGCGCAGGTGAGAGACAGCACGCAGAGGCCAGAGGCAGGGCTGCGCAGGTGAGAGACAGCACGCAGAGGCCAGAGGCAGGGCTGCGCAGGTGAGAGACAGCACGCAGAGGCCAGAGGCAGGGCTGCGCAGGTGAGAGACAGCACGCAGAGGCCAGAGGCAGGGCTGCGCAGGTGAGAGACAGCACGCAGAGGCCAGAGGCAGGGCTGCGCAGGTGAGAGACAGCACGCAGAGGCCAGAGGCAGGGCTGCGCAGGTGAGAGACAGCACGCAGAGGCCAGAGGCAGGGCTGCGCAGGTGAGAGACAGCACGCAGAGGCCAGAGGCAGGGCTGCGCAGGTGAGAGACAGCACGCAGAGGCCAGAGGCAGGGCTGCGCAGGTGAGAGACAGCACGCAGAGGCCAGAGGCAGGGCTGCGCAGGTGAGAGACAGCACGCAGAGGCCAGAGGCAGGGCTGCGCAGGTGAGAGACAGCACGCAGAGGCCAGAGGCAGGGCTGCGCAGGTGAGAGACAGCACGCAGAGGCCAGAGGCAGGGCTGCGCAGGTGAGAGACAGCACGCAGAGGCCAGAGGCAGGGCTGCGCAGGTGAGAGACAGCACGCAGAGGCCAGAGGCAGGGCTGCGCAGGTGAGAGACAGCACGCAGAGGCCAGAGGCAGGGCTGCGCAGGTGAGAGACAGCACGCAGAGGCCAGAGGCAGGGCTGCGCAGGTGAGAGACAGCACGCAGAGGCCAGAGGCAGGGCTGCGCAGGTGAGAGACAGCACGCAGAGGCCAGAGGCAGGGCTGCGCAGGTGAGAGACAGCACGCAGAGGCCAGAGGCAGGGCTGCGCAGGTGAGAGACAGCACGCAGAGGCCAGAGGCAGGGCTGCGCAGGTGAGAGACAGCACGCAGAGGCCAGAGGCAGGGCTGCGCAGGTGAGAGACAGCACGCAGAGGCCAGAGGCAGGGCTGCGCAGGTGAGAGACAGCACGCAGAGGCCAGAGGCAGGGCTGCGCAGGTGAGAGACAGCACGCAGAGGCCAGAGGCAGGGCTGCGCAGGTGAGAGACAGCACGCAGAGGCCAGAGGCAGGGCTGCGCAGGTGAGAGACAGCACGCAGAGGCCAGAGGCAGGGCTGCGCAGGTGAGAGACAGCACGCAGAGGCCAGAGGCAGGGCTGCGCAGGTGAGAGACAGCACGCAGAGGCCAGAGGCAGGGCTGCGCAGGTGAGAGACAGCACGCAGAGGCCAGAGGCAGGGCTGCGCAGGTGAGAGACAGCACGCAGAGGCCAGAGGCAGGGCTGCGCAGGTGAGAGACAGCACGCAGAGGCCAGAGGCAGGGCTGCGCAGGTGAGAGACAGCACGCAGAGGCCAGAGGCAGGGCTGCGCAGGTGAGAGACAGCACGCAGAGGCCAGAGGCAGGGCTGCGCAGGTGAGAGACAGCACGCAGAGGCCAGAGGCAGGGCTGCGCAGGTGAGAGACAGCACGCAGAGGCCAGAGGCAGGGCTGCGCAGGTGAGAGACAGCACGCAGAGGCCAGAGGCAGGGCTGCGCAGGTGAGAGACAGCACGCAGAGGCCAGAGGCAGGGCTGCGCAGGTGAGAGACAGCACGCAGAGGCCAGAGGCAGGGCTGCGCAGGTGAGAGACAGCACGCAGAGGCCAGAGGCAGGGCTGCGCAGGTGAGAGACAGCACGCAGAGGCCAGAGGCAGGGCTGCGCAGGTGAGAGACAGCACGCAGAGGCCAGAGGCAGGGCTGCGCAGGTGAGAGACAGCACGCAGAGGCCAGAGGCAGGGCTGCGCAGGTGAGAGACAGCACGCAGAGGCCAGAGGCAGGGCTGCGCAGGTGAGAGACAGCACGCAGAGGCCAGAGGCAGGGCTGCGCAGGTGAGAGACAGCACGCAGAGGCCAGAGGCAGGGCTGCGCAGGTGAGAGACAGCACGCAGAGGCCAGAGGCAGGGCTGCGCAGGTGAGAGACAGCACGCAGAGGCCAGAGGCAGGGCTGCGCAGGTGAGAGACAGCACGCAGAGGCCAGAGGCAGGGCTGCGCAGGTGAGAGACAGCACGCAGAGGCCAGAGGCAGGGCTGCGCAGGTGAGAGACAGCACGCAGAGGCCAGAGGCAGGGCTGCGCAGGTGAGAGACAGCACGCAGAGGCCAGAGGCAGGGCTGCGCAGGTGAGAGACAGCACGCAGAGGCCAGAGGCAGGGCTGCGCAGGTGAGAGACAGCACGCAGAGGCCAGAGGCAGGGCTGCGCAGGTGAGAGACAGCACGCAGAGGCCAGAGGCAGGGCTGCGCAGGTGAGAGACAGCACGCAGAGGCCAGAGGCAGGGCTGCGCAGGTGAGAGACAGCACGCAGAGGCCAGAGGCAGGGCTGCGCAGGTGAGAGACAGCACGCAGAGGCCAGAGGCAGGGCTGCGCAGGTGAGAGACAGCACGCAGAGGCCAGAGGCAGGGCTGCGCAGGTGAGAGACAGCACGCAGAGGCCAGAGGCAGGGCTGCGCAGGTGAGAGACAGCACGCAGAGGCCAGAGGCAGGGCTGCGCAGGTGAGAGACAGCACGCAGAGGCCAGAGGCAGGGCTGCGCAGGTGAGAGACAGCACGCAGAGGCCAGAGGCAGGGCTGCGCAGGTGAGAGACAGCACGCAGAGGCCAGAGGCAGGGCTGCGCAGGTGAGAGACAGCACGCAGAGGCCAGAGGCAGGGCTGCGCAGGTGAGAGACAGCACGCAGAGGCCAGAGGCAGGGCTGCGCAGGTGAGAGACAGCACGCAGAGGCCAGAGGCAGGGCTGCGCAGGTGAGAGACAGCACGCAGAGGCCAGAGGCAGGGCTGCGCAGGTGAGAGACAGCACGCAGAGGCCAGAGGCAGGGCTGCGCAGGTGAGAGACAGCACGCAGAGGCCAGAGGCAGGGCTGCGCAGGTGAGAGACAGCACGCAGAGGCCAGAGGCAGGGCTGCGCAGGTGAGAGACAGCACGCAGAGGCCAGAGGCAGGGCTGCGCAGGTGAGAGACAGCACGCAGAGGCCAGAGGCAGGGCTGCGCAGGTGAGAGACAGCACGCAGAGGCCAGAGGCAGGGCTGCGCAGGTGAGAGACAGCACGCAGAGGCCAGAGGCAGGGCTGCGCAGGTGAGAGACAGCACGCAGAGGCCAGAGGCAGGGCTGCGCAGGTGAGAGACAGCACGCAGAAGGCCAGAGGCAGGGCTGCGCAGGTGAGAGACAGCACGCAGAGGCCAGAGGCAGGGCTGCGCAGGTGAGAGACAGCACGCAGAGGCCAGAGGCAGGGCTGCGCAGGTGAGAGACAGCACGCAGAGGCCAGAGGCAGGGCTGCGCAGGTGAGAGACAGCACGCAGAGGCCAGAGGCAGGGCTGCGCAGGTGAGAGACAGCACGCAGAGGCCAGAGGCAGGGCTGCGCAGGTGAGAGACAGCACGCAGAGGCCAGAGGCAGGGCTGCGCAGGTGAGAGACAGCACGCAGAGGCCAGAGGCAGGGCTGCGCAGGTGAGAGACAGCACGCAGAGGCCAGAGGCAGGGCTGCGCAGGTGAGAGACAGCACGCAGAGGCCAGAGGCAGGGCTGCGCAGGTGAGAGACAGCACGCAGAGGCCAGAGGCAGGGCTGCGCAGGTGAGAGACAGCACGCAGAGGCCAGAGGCAGGGCTGCGCAGGTGAGAGACAGCACGCAGAGGCCAGAGGCAGGGCTGCGCAGGTGAGAGACAGCACGCAGAGGCCAGAGGCAGGGCTGCGCAGGTGAGAGACAGCACGCAGAGGCCAGAGGCAGGGCTGCGCAGGTGAGAGACAGCGGCAGGGAAGCAGTCAGCAGTGACGCGGACGGCAATGGATGTATAAAAGAGGAATGGTGGGAAATGAGCGAGAGTGAGGGGAAAGTATGGAAGAAGGGGAGAGGGAAGGGGTGCATGTGACAGTGTGTGCGTGCAGCACCCACCATGCAGGTGCATGTCGAGTGTGCCATTGGGTGCCATCTCATACACCAACACCTTGGGTCCCCTGCCCGCTCCACTCCCACTCCCACTCCCCACACCCCCACCAGCACCACCAGCGCCAGCATCAGCGGCAGCAGCAGGGGCCGGCAGCGGGGTGCAGCAGCAGCCGAGCACCTCCACGAGGTTTGGGCAGCGCACAAACGCAAACACCTCCACGGCCGCTGCAAACGCTGCTGCCGTCTCGCCCTCTGACCCTTCCACCTCCTTCATCACTATCCCCGCCCCCTCACTGCCCTCCGCTTGCATGGCTGACGCTGGGTCAGGCGAGGCGGAGGAAGAGGAGGAGGAGGCAGAGGCGGAGGAGGAGAGGAGGGAGGGGGGGAGGTGGCCGGTGAAGGAGCGGCAGGTGCCGTGCGTGGCGAGGAGCGAGTCAGAGTGGAAGGCGTTGGTGGCCCGTGAGAGCTCTTCCAGGGTGAACTGGCGCATTGTGAGGTGCGTTGCTGCTGGGGGTAGGGGAAGGAACGGCAAGGCAGGGGAGGAGAGAGGACGAGAGGGGGGGGGAGGGGAAGAAGAGAGAGGAGAGGAGAGGGGGACGTGAGGAGGAAGAGAAGGGGTGGTGAGGTGGTGAGTCTTGCTAAGCCAAGGGAAGAGAGAGACTGGTGGCACGCAATGCATGACCCACAAGCGTTTCTCACGCTCCACTGACAGACCCTGCCCCCCCCACCCCACCCATCGTCTCTGCCCCTACCCCACCATCTGCGCCCCCCAACTCACCCGTGGGTCCGCCTAGCCGCCTTGCGATGGCAGCAGCAGTCGCAAGCGCACTGCTCCCCACGCCCCCCTCCCCACTCCCGCCATCCGCGCCATCCGCACTGCCGCCTGTCGCCCCTGCCCCTGCCGCCGCTCGGCCCTTCTTTGCCGCTGCAGCCGCTGCTGCTGCCTCGAAAGAGGAAGACTTTCCAGTGGCGCTGGTGGTGGCGGTGGTGCTGGCAGTGGCGGTGCGGGAGGGCTTGAGAGAGGAGAAGAAGGAGATGGAGGCGAGGGAGGAGGGCAGCGAGGACAGCAGCGCGGAGAATGGCGGCACCACTGAGTACCCCTCCAGGTCGTCCGGGTCGTAGAACTGACCCCTGGGAGGGAGGGGCAGCACGCAGGGCGGAGGGGGAGGGGGGGGGGTTTGAGGGAGGAAGGGGAGGAGGGGAACGAGTGTAAGATGTTTGCATCGAGTGGAAATGGAAGAGGGTAGGGAGGCGAGAGGGAGAGGAGAGGGGATGCAGTGAGGACAGCAGGAGCGCATGAGAGGCGCGCAGGGAGAGCCATGCCAACCAGCCATGCCAACCAGCCATGCCAACCAGCCATGCCAACCAGCCATGCCAACCAGCCATGCCAACCAGCCATGCCAACCAGCCATGCCAACCAGCCATGCCAACCAGCCATGCCAACCAGCCATGCCAACCAGCCATGCCAACCAGCCATGCCAACCAGCCATGCCAACCAGCCATGCCAACCAACCATGCCAACCAGCCATGCCAACCAGCCATGCCAACCAGCCATGCCAACCAACCATGCCAACCAGCCATACCAACCAACCATGCCAACCAGCCATACCAACCAACCATGCCTTGGCATCCCTGTACCCAGCCCACACCCCGTGCCCCCTGCGTCCCATGCCCCCTGCCCCCTAACCTCCCTCTCCTCCTCCCGCATCTCACTTGGTGGTGCGGCCAGCATACTGCCACGCGCCTGGCCGGGTGCGGCGCAGCCCCCCTCTCAGCGCCAACACAGCAGCCACCACCAGCGCCACCACCAGCGCGAGAACCAGCACCACCGCCGCCGCCACCGCCGCTGCTGATGTGGGTGCTGGGAAGCTGGAGGCACCCTCCAAGGGGGCTGACCGGGGGGAAGGAGAGGGGAGGGGGGGCGTGGGAAAGAGCGAGGGTAGCAGGGTGAGGTGGTGGTTTTTGCAGGAACAGGGATGGTGGTGGGAAGCGGTGGAAGTGCACACTCACACACATGACCACTCACCACCAGCACTCCCACACATGACCACAACCGTCCACACAGTACTCTCCCCCCCTCGCCCTGCTTCCCACTTTCCTCTCCTCTTCTCTCACCCACCCACCCTCCTACCTGCCTCCTCCTCCTCCCCCTCCCCCTTCCCCATGCGCGCATCTCACCGGAGGGGCACATGCAAGCGGTGAAGCCCTTGGCGTCCACGCACGCGCGCTGCCCCTGCGCGCCGTCCGCGCACGAGCACAGCTCCACCTGCCCGTGCGCGCACGCGCGGCGCTGCTCGATGTGCGGAGGGGCGCCGTGGCGTTGCAGCACCACACTGCACCGCCCCGTGCCGGCGAGGTCCACGCACAGTTCGGGGTTGCCCTCGAAGCTGCGGGGTGGGTGGAGAGGAGGGGCAGGGAAGCGGGAGGGGAAGGTGCTTGAGATATGAGAGTGTGGGTGGAATGTTACCAGAATGGTACACACAGACTCATTCTGGTAGACGTGGGCGCGCTGATACTCATAACAACCATTCACCCAGCCACTGTCCTCATTGCCCATGCGTGCTACAGGGGGACGCAGGGCGGGGAACGTGTGTGATTCACATTCACACGTGGAGATGTGCACAGGGCGAGTGTGTGTGCAAGCGCACATGCATACACGGGCAGGCGAGCAGACCTGGCGAGCGGCAGGTGGTGGAAGGAGGCATTGACGTGGCCGTGCAGGGCGTTGTCCGCCACGCTCAGCTGCTGCAGCGGCAGGGCTGCCAGGCCCATCGGCACCTCGCCACTCAGGTTGTTGTTCTGTAGCAGCCTGCAGCGGCGTGGGGTGAAGATGGGGAGATGAGAGGGGGAGCGAAGTGAGACGAGGGCAAGAGGGGGGACGGCGAGAGGGGAGAGAGCAGAGAGGGCGGCAGCAACAGAAGAGGCGGCAGTGGCAAGAAAGGAACAAGCTCAAGAGAATCGTCAGACGTGGTGTGGTGTGGTGTGGTGCGGTGTGTGGTGTGTGGGCGTACAGCGTGTGGAGGCGGGTGCAGTGAGCGAGGGACAGCGGGATGGTGCCGCTGATGTTGTTGCTGCTCACATCCCTGCACGCACACACGGGGCACGAGGAAAGGGGAGCAATGGAAGCGATGAGTAGCAGTGTGAAGCGGTACGCAGGTGTGATGCTGGATGGTGCGCGAGAAGGCAGAGTACGTTTCAGTACGGATCATGAGCGAGAGAAGGCGGGGAATGGGAGGTGAGTGGGAGGAGGAGATGGGGACGTGCATGCATGTGCTGCTGCGAGCAAGCACAACACTGCGTGCGCGGCACGTGACAGCAAGCGCCTCACAGTGACAGCAAGCGCCTCACAGTGTTTCGAGGTCCTGCAGCTGCCCCCACTGCCACGGCACGTTGCCCTCAAACCGGTTGCTCGCCAGCACCCTGCACACACGCACCACGCATGCACGACGGGAGAGAGGGAACCGCGTCTGAATAAGCGCACTTACCATGCGTGGAGTGGTGCGGCTGACAGGGTCGGGCAGTGAGGCACAGATGGAGTCATATATCCAGGGAGTCACACAGAAGCAGTGCGTTGGGGCATGGCAGGTGCAACTCAGCATGGCATGGCTTTTGAGTCGACTCAAAAGTCAGTACGTTGGGGCATGGCAGGTGCAACACAGCATGGCATGGTGGGCAGAGAGAAGGAGAGGACGGGAAGCGCAATGGTGCTGAGGGAGTGATAAGGGTAGGGCCTTGCTGCATGTTGCATGGCATGTCATGGCAGCAGCAGCAGAGGCAGAGGCAGAGGCAGGGGCAGGGCGCTCACAGAGAGATCATGTTCTTGGAGATGGGCCATGGCAGTCGCCCGTGGAAGCGGTTGCCCGCCAGGTTGCTGATGGGCACACACACGTGGCATATGACACACGCCCACGTGAACACAGAGCAGCATGAGAAGGCAATGGTGGTTGGTGTCACTGGCTTGAGAGAGCGAGCGTGTGTGCTGCTTACGTGCTTATGTGTGCATGTATGTGATTGTGAGAACGCCTGTGTGTGTGCATGCAAACCCGTGCGTCCGTGCATGAGTGCCCATGCATGTGTGAGTGCGCGCGTACAGGAAGGTGAGGCGGCGGTTGACGGAGAGCGCGCGGGGGAAGGTGCCTCCGAGGGAGTTGTTGCTGAGGTCGACGTGCAGCAGGCGCTTCAGCGTCGCTAGGTTCTCCGCCACCCGCCCGGTCAAGTTGTTGCCTCCCAGATCGCTGCTCGTACCGGTTGGAAAGGGGGATTCAGGAGGAATGGGAGAATGAGTGGAGAGTGGAAGGAGGAAGCAAGTGAGGTGTGAAGGGCACAAAGGCCAAGTGGATGAAGCAGAGAAGTCAAGTCGGGGAGGGACGGGGAAAGGGGAGGAGTAGGAGACAGGCGGTGTTGGTGGGGGGGTGGTGGGGAAGCGATGGGGGGTAAGTGAGGTGGGCAGTAGGGGGTTGCGAGGGGGGCTGAGGGGCTAACTGACATCATTTCGAGCTTGCGGAGCGTGTTGAGGGACTGGGGGAGATGGCCCTCGAACGAGTTGTTGGCTAGCTTGCTGCTCGCCCGCACGGGTGGTGACACACACACACACACACACAGAAAGATGCACGCACAGAGGAATGCAGAGAGAGGGACACACACACACAGAGGTGAATGGTGGGTGGGTGGACTCGCGGCCTCCCTGCCTCAAACTCACACAGGGTACAGAATGCCACGACGTGTGTGGGATTCAAAGGAACCAGCAGCGCACGCATGCGAGCATGTGGGCAATGATGTGCATGTCTCGTGAGCGCCATCGTGCGTGCCCCAAGGAGGCAGCTCGAGACCAGTAGCGAGGCTTGGAGCAGGGAGCACGCACAGGGCCATGAGGTTGGTGAGCGAGAGCAGCAACGGGATGCTGCCCGCTAGCTGGTTGCCTGACAGATCCCTGCCCACGTGCCGAACAACACACAGCACACAGCATGCATAGCGCAGAGAGGAGAGGGATGAAAGGCAAAGAGGCATTAGGGAAGTCCCTCCCAGCGCACCACCGGCACGCCGGTGGAAGTGAGCATGCCGCAGCTGCCTGCACTCACTGCCCTCCATTCTTGACGCGCCTCAGGAAATAATACTTTCGCTTCAGCTCCCGAACTGTCCTCTCTCTTATCCCTATGCCCCCCCGACTCAATCCCCATCTCTCCATCACCCCCACCCCCTCCGAACCCTTCTCCCGCTTCCGCATCCCGTCCCCCAGTCCCATGCGCGCTTACAGGCGGCGCAGCGCCGTCATCTGATCCACTTCCGCGGGCACCTCCCCCGTGAACGCGTTGCGCCACACGATGCTGCGCGCACGCAGAGGGGGGCGCACGGGGAGGCGGGAAAGGGGTTGCGAGAGGGGGAGGGGGGATGAATAGGAGGGTGGTATGGCAAGCTCTAACCATAGGCAGGCAAAACGTAACACTTCTACTGTCTACAGCTACTGCAAGCGTTAACGGATGTGGCATGGCAGGGCAGGGGATGGCATGGCAGGGGATGGCATGGCAGGGAAAGGCAGGGTAGAGAATGGCATGGCAGGGAAAGGCAGGGTAGAGAATGGAATGGCAGTGCAGGGCAGGGGGTTAGGACAGGGCCGGTACGCACAATGAGGTGAGAGCAGTCAGTTGGCCGAGCTGCGAAGGCAGGTTACCACCGATGGCTGTTTCGCTCAGCTCGCTGAAAGCGGGAATGGAAACAGAAGAGGATTGGTCGCGGGAGGCGGTGAGGTGGGGAAAGAGGCGGAAGCGGAAGAGACGGAGGAAGAAGGGCAGCCGTGCACCAAAACGCAAGTGCCAGAGGAGTTGAACGTGCAGTTGAGGCGCCAAAGGCGGCATTGCATTGGCATCGTGGTGGGTGGCGGACGGAGTGGCGCGACTCACAGTTCCTCCAGCCCGCTCAGTGCGCCTATGGACGCGGAGAGCTCCCCGCCCAGATGCTGCGCGCGGATAATGCTGCGGCGGGCGCAACAAGGGATGGGGGATGGACGACACGTGGACGGTTGGATGGCAGGCAAAAAATGCATTACTGGGCCAATGTGGGCGACAGTGAAGGGGTAGATGGGGAGAGGAGAGGAGAGGAGAGGAGAGGAGAGGAGAGGAGAGGAGAAGAGAGGAGAAGAGAGGAGAGGAGAGGAGAAGAGAGGAGAGGAGAGGAGAGGAGAGGAGAGGAGAGGAGAGGAGAGGAGAGGAGAGGAGAGGGGAGAGGAGGAGAGGAGAGGAAAGAAGAGGAGAGGAGAGGAGAGGAGAGGTGAGGGGCGGAGAGGAGAGTGGTTCGAGTGTCGTGTAGAAAAAGGTGAATTCCTTCCTCGCCATGCATCTTGATCTGCTTGTTCCATCTGTGGCTTCACAGAGCATTCTTTCATCCGTCGCACGGTCGCTCGCGGCTCATGTTACGCCGTCGCTTTACCAGAGCAGACACTGGTGGGTGGGTGGTGGTACCCTCCTGCTGCGCACGTGCAAGCATCACGCTTGCGGCATTGCAGTATGATACTGCCCGCCGACGTATCCCCATCCTCTCTCTCATCGCCCCCACACTTACATCTTGCTCACGTATGCCTCGCGTTTCTCTCCGCTGCCCCGCTCCCCGCAAGTCACCCCCACCCACTTTCCCCCGCACGCGTCGTCTCCGCTCCAGTTGCTCAGCGCGGGGGGGTTCCCCCACCCCGCCTTGAGATCTAAAAGCGCGCGGACTGCGGGGGAGAAGGGGAAAAGCGAGGTTAGGGGCGCGAGGGGGAGCGACGGGCGGGTAAACTGCAGGTAGGCAGGTTGACGACAAAAGAGGTGAGAGCGAGATCACGAGCATGCAGTGGAAAAGAGTCCAGTTTCAGATGATTGCGATGAGAGAGAGGTGAGAGGTAGGTTTGAGAGGCTCTACGCAAGTTTCGTCTAATAAAATGGGCTCGTGTTGGGTTCGGAGAACGGGGAGAGCGCACCATCGTCTGGCGAGGTTTGTGTTCGAACAGCATCGGTACAGAGTAGACCGAGGCCGAGCACTGAGAGGAGAAAGACGCAGCTGGCTCGATGACGCGCTGGCTGCATTTGAAATCTAGTAGAACTGTTGTGACGCCATGAACGCCCCATAATGCTGGATGCGCGATCAGTGCAAAGGTCAAGCGAGCCAAATCTTAGATTTAGAAACTCAACAGATGCTCGAACCTCGATCAGTGTGTTGTGCTATTGCCCTACTCTGCATGCATGTGGGAGCGCTAGTATCAGTTCCCAAACTCTGCCAAAATAAACCGTGCTGCTTTGTTCCAAGATAGGAAATATGGATGCTTGGTGCCCACGAACTGGATTGCACGTTTGGCTGGGACGTCCGTCCACTCGGTTTGAGCTAGGTTATGTCTGGTTGAATTGGGTTCAGTTGAGGGCTGCTCTCCTCCTCTCACACATAAGTGAGCCAGCGCCCCCAACCAGGCCTGTGATGCGTGTGGGAGGGACACGTGTAGCGGATCGCGATGTCAGGCGCGCTGCGCAGGTGGAAACAGAAAGGCTCTGTTTTCGCAAACAAGATTGAGCTCTGTTACTGATATTTAAATGGTTGACGAAGGTATTCTGTCTTCTATGAGGCTTCGTCAGAGCAAGCGAAGCACGAATTTGCTGGCCTGAAACGGAGTTGCCACTTCGACAACCTGGGGAGTGAGGCACCCGCAACTGGCTGCATGAGGGGACACCGAACCCTGGGGAGGTCCAGACGGATTCTCCTTGGCCGTGAGTAAAATTTAAATAATACAGTAACAGGCAAACCGGCTATATCATGCAAGAGCTAGAGTAGAGCACAATCATCAGACAAATAGTTGATGAATAAAAAATATTTCAGTTTTCTACCTCGAAACTTTCTTTTTTATCGTGTCCAAAACCAAGCATGTTCACCAACATACTAAATTAAAAAATGTTACATTATAATATTTTTGGTTCTTACATCGCACCGTGATTTTTATTTCCTTATCACATGGTTTATTGCAGAAATATGGTGTTATTTTTCTTGCTGTTTATTGATATGTGTGCTAACTGTTTTGTAAGTTTTGGTATGTTAGATTGCCTGAAAGCAACCTTTGATTTCTAGCGAGGATGTCGGCAGAACCTGGGCCTTCACTTACCGTCACCTTTTTCTCCATGGCCCTGGATTGTTCCACTTCTCGAATTTCGATCTTCGCCTTCCAGGAACCCAGCCTTCACTCTTGGTTGCGTGTTGCCGTGCTGCGGCTGAGTCCACTAGCCTCATATAATCAGTCAGTGTCGTCTCGAGCAGGATCTAAACTCGGTTCAAGTAGTCGTTGCGAGCAGATTGTAATTGCCAATTGGTAATCTATCCTGCGATTGAGATTGAATCCACCCGTGCACGAGTGCAGCAGCCTGCTCGAATTCCGCTTTCCTAACTACCGATCTAGGAATTCGTCTTCGCATCTCTGAATTCACATCATGACGCAAGGAGAGAGCTCAGATGCGGGGTGAGTCTCTTTTCTTTCAGATCTAGCCCAGAAACTTACATCCGTCCAGTTAATTTGTTTAGAGCTCGGTGGAGCGACTGTGAGCTTACGGATGTGAGCCGGCCTTACGTGTTTGAGCCATTCTTCCGGTGTCTCGGGAATTCAGCACATGGATTCGGGGTCCAGTTGCTGACATCGTATTCTTAACTTCTTTTGACTTTCCCTTCTGACTCGCTTCTATAAAAAAAATCGTTAACTTTCTCGCTCCCTCTTGGATGGCTCGCCCTCATGCCTCTCACCGTGCGTGGTCACAGCGCCAAGGGCACGAAACGCGATTTCTCGACGGCGATTTTGGATCGGAAGAAGGCGTTGAACCGGCTGATAGTGGACGAGGCGGTGAACGATGACAACTCCGTGGTGGCGCTCAACATGAAGACCATGGAGGAGCTCCAGCTCTTCCGCGGCGACACCGTGCTGCTCAAGGTACGTCCGTGCCGTGTGCCGTGTCAAAGCGACTATGATGCGACCCACTGCCGGTAAGGGAATAACTGGATGCAGACTGTTGTCGTGTCGTGACGGTTACAGCGGCAACGCCCTCTGGCAAGCATGTGGTCTCCTCCACACTCGACACTTCTGCTGTTGTCGAGCCTGTCATCCTGCCTTTTGCCGCGAACATCAGCCGTGCGATTCACTTTCGTAACCTCTCCCAAGACCCATCTGGTCCTCTATCTCACCTGTCTCCATCGCTCTCTCCTCTCCCGCCTTCCTCGCCGTGACGGCGCGCAGGGCAAGAAGCGCAAGGACACGGTGTGCATCGTGCTGGCGGACGACACGGTGGAGGAGACGCGCATCCGCATGAACAAGGTGGTGCGCGCCAACCTGCGCGTGCGCCTGGGCGACGTGGTGTCCGTGCACCAGTGCGCGGACGTCAAGTACGGCAAGCGCATCCACGTGCTGCCCATCGACGACTCCGTCGAGGGCGTCTCCGGCAACCTCTTCGACGCCTACCTCAAACGTGCGTGCTCTAGCGTAAACGTGCATGCTTACCTCAAGCGCGCGTTAATCTCCACCGCGGCTGTGGCGCTTTGCGGGACGAGGGATGGGTTTGGGGGAGTGTATTGGGGAGGGATGGGAACGAAGGGTGGAGGGTACCGTCATTGTGGGTGATGATTGTGTCGCTTCCACCCTCTCACCTTGCTCTGCGGCTTGTCTGCCTCCCTAGTTCTCTTGCTCCTTTTGACGTTTTCTTCCCCCTCGTCCTCTCGGTTTCTCCCCAGAATCCCCCTCCCGACCCCCCCTCCTTCCACCATCTTCCCGACACCATCACCGGCACCGCGCCCCCCCCCCCCCCCCCCCCCTTCCCCTCATCCCCCCCCAACCCCACTCTCCCCTCCACCCCCGCTTCCCCACACCAGCGTACTTCCTCGAGGCGTACCGGCCGGTGCGCAAGGGCGATCTGTTCCTGGTGCGCGGCGGCATGCGCAGCGTGGAGTTCAAGGTGGTGGAGACGGACCCGGCGGAGTACTGCATAGTGGCGCCCGACACGGAGATCTTCTGCGAGGGCGAGCCAATCAAGCGCGAGGACGAGGAGCGCCTCGACGAGGTGGGGTACGACGACGTGGGCGGCGTGCGCAAGCAGATGGCGCAGATCCGCGAGCTCGTCGAGCTGCCGCTGCGCCACCCGCAGCTGTTCAAGTCCATCGGAGTCAAGCCGCCGAAAGGTATTCTCCTCTTCGGCCCGCCCGGGTCCGGTAAGACGCTGATCGCGCGCGCTGTGGCGAACGAGACGGGCGCGTTTTTCTTTCTCATCAACGGGCCGGAGATCATGTCGAAGCTGGCGGGGGAGAGCGAGAGCAACCTGCGGAAGGCGTTCGAGGAGGCGGAGAAGAACTCCCCCGCCATCATCTTCATCGATGAGATTGACTCGATCGCGCCCAAGAGAGAGAAGACGCACGGCGAGGTGGAGCGGCGTATCGTGTCGCAGCTGCTGACGCTCATGGACGGGCTCAAGTCGCGCGCGCACGTGATCGTGATGGGCGCCACGAACCGGCCGAATAGTATCGACCCCGCGCTGAGGCGGTTCGGGCGGTTCGATCGCGAGATTGACATTGGCGTGCCGGACGAGGTGGGGCGGCTGGAGGTGCTGCGCATCCACACCAAGAACATGAAGCTCGCTGAAGACGTACGTGCAGGGAGGGGGAGGGGGTGGAAAGGGTTGTGGGGGTTCGTACACTAGAGGGCTGGAGCAAAGGCGGGAAGGAGAGGGGAGGAAAGGGCGGGTTGCGAGTCAGGGGGGGGTGGGAGTGTGGGAAAAGAGAGGGGTTGGGAGAGAAGTTGAAGGGATGGTAAGGGTTTGGGGAGAAGGGGGGCATGGGGAAGGGGATGAGTCATCCTTTTGTTGTTTTTACATCCTCCCATCCGTCACGCTTTTTCATCCTCCTTCCTCCACCACCCCCATCCCCCCCGCTTCCCCCCTCCCCTTAACCCCGCCCCTCCCACTCCCCTGTCCCCCACTTACGTTCCATCTCTTCTTCACTCGTTTCCACAGCTCTCCTCCCTCCATTTCCTCTTTCCTCTCTTCGGTATCCCCCTACTTCCTCCCCTTCCTCCCCTTCCTTCCCTTCCACCCCTTCCTCCGCCACTTACTTGCAATCAGTCTGTGAAATAAATGACAGGTTGCTCATCATTCCCATTTCTCGCACTCAACCTCCACATTTCTGCTCCCCCCACCATCTCCCACCCACCCCTTCCTCCCCCCACCCGCTGTCCCTCCCTTCGCGCTGTGCCCGCGCAGGTGGACCTGGAGAAGATATCATCCAACACGCACGGGTTTGTGGGCGCGGATCTGGCGGCGCTGTGCACGGAGGCGGCGCTGCAGTGCATTCGCGAGAAGATGGACGTCATCGACCTGGAGGACGACAGCATCGACGCCGAGGTTCTCAATTCCATGGCCGTCTCCAACGACCACTTCTCCACCGCTCTCGGCATCTCCAACCCCTCCGCGCTCAGGGAAACGGTCAGTGCCGGTGGCTTGCGCACTGTGTGGGCTTGGGGAATGATGGGGTGTGGGAGTGCGGGGTCTGATTGGGAAATGGGCCCGTTTTTGCAGATGGAAACTGGTTGCGAAGTAGCGGACTGGTTGCAAGGCATAGTGCTTTGACGTCTCCCGCTGTTTCCTTGTCTCACTCAGGTGTTTGTGTTGGTGTATGTGCGTGGCTGTGTGTGTGTGCGTGTGTGCATGCGAGCAGGTTGTGGAGGTGCCCAACGTTTCATGGTCCGACATTGGAGGCCTGGACAATGTCAAGAGGGAGCTGCAGGAGGTGAGCCCACTGCACTCTTGTACCCTTCATATCGCTCTGCGTCCTGTGCCGCCCCACCATCATTGTTATTCTCTCCAGTTTCAGCCATCCTGTTCTTCCCTATCTCCCCTGTTCCTCATCCTCCCGCTCCCCCACCCCCCTCGTTCCCCTGTCATTCCATTTTTGTATGCAACCCAACTCCCTTTTAATCTTCGTACTCTTTCACTCCCCTGGTTACCTCCCACCTCCACGACCACTTAACCCAACTGACCCGTCTTCATGCTCCTGGGACCCTGGGTTGACTCCTCTCACCCCCCCACTCTTCCCACCCCACCCGCCACCCCAGACGGTGCAATACCCGGTGGAGCACCCGGAGAAGTTTGAGAAGTTTGGCATGTCGCCCAGCAAGGGCGTGCTGTTCTACGGGCCGCCGGGGTGCGGCAAGACGCTGCTGGCCAAGGCAATTGCGAACGAGTGCCAGGCCAACTTCATCAGCGTCAAGGGCCCTGAGCTGCTCACCATGTGGTTTGGCGAGAGTGAGGCCAACGTGCGCGAGATCTTTGACAAGGCGCGCCAGTCCGCCCCCTGCGTGCTCTTCTTTGACGAGCTCGACTCCATCGCCACCCAGCGTGGCAGCAGTGTGGGCGATGCAGGAGGAGCAGCGGACCGAGTGTTGAACCAGCTGCTGACGGAGATGGACGGCATGAATGCGAAGAAGACGGTGTTCATCATCGGTGCCACCAACCGCCCCGACATCATCGACCCCGCGCTGCTGCGCCCGGGCCGCCTGGACCAGCTCATCTACATCCCGCTGCCCGATGAGGCGTCGCGCCTCAAGATCTTTGAGGCTGTGCTGCGCAAGTCCCCCCTCGCCAAGGAGGTCGAGCTCCCTGCTCTCGCCCGCTACACCCATGGGTTCAGTGGTGCTGATATCACGGAGATCTGCCAGCGGGCTTGCAAATATGCCATCCGGCAAAACATTGAGAAGGTGCGCTTGGTGTGGGAAAGGGCAGGGTGGTGGTGTGTGCGGGGAACATTTTTGTGTGGGTGGCTATGGTTGCAGGCACTCGATTTCATTCATTATTGTTACATGTGGTGTTGTGCTCTCTTTGCAGTATCCCTCTTGCGCTGACACTTCTTTTTATTTGTCTTCTGTTTGGCACGGGCAGGACATAGAGAGGGAGAAGAGATGGGCCGCTAATCCGGATTCGATGGAGGAGGATGAGGCGGATGAGGTGGCTGAGATCACAGCAGCGGACTTTGAGGAGGCCATGAAGTTCGCTCGCCGCTCAGTCAGTGATGCCGACATCCGCAAGTACGTGCTGCGGCTTCTATAGCGTCATTGAAGCTGTCATCACTGCTTCCTTGGGCTCCAAGATTGTTTGTTGGTGGACAATCACATGTAGCTGTTTTCTCGAGCCTTTGCGTACATGGTTTTGATGTATTTTCTTTGCCATGTTCTCCTGCTCCCGCTTATTCCTTCTTGACAGGTACCAGGCGTTTGCCCAGACGCTGCAGCAATCTCGTGGATTTGGCACCGATTTCCGTTTTCCAGATCGTCCTGCTTCTGCTACTCCAGCTGCGGCAGGAGCTGCTGATGCAGCTGCCGATGACGATGATTTGTATAATTGAGTGGCCATTTTTTGTGGGGATTGCGCATCGATTTCTGTGTACCATCGTATATACTGAGTTGGCGTCCATATTTTGTGTGAACACTAGGATCCGAGGATCATTTCAAATATGGTACCTATACTAGATGGGGGAACAAGAATTTGAGTAATAACGTGAGTCATGTTAGTTCTTACTGGAAGTAGCGAGATTTGTTCAAGCGCGAGTCTTGCTTCCAGCCAGATGTGCTGCAAGGGTGGATGCCACGCGATGTGGTGTGGCGACACACTGACATGGCGACGTGGGAAGGAATCGCCCATCGTCGACAGCCTTGAGACCTCCCGACGTGCACCAACAGTTCGCCGTCAATCTCCTTTCAGCGCTGAATCTACGGACGAACGCGTGTCCCGGGGAAAAACAATTTGGTTGCGAACTATTCGATTCGCTGAATTCGAGTCGTGGTTTGTCAACATGTCAGGCACGCCGACATCTCCTTGACCCTTCCCGTCAGTCATGCGAGCCTCGTTGTCCATCACGGAATCGCAAGGAACTTCGTCGTCGAATCGCACGGCGCACAAAAGTCGTCATTGAAGGCATCGAAACACCCACCCAGCACACCGTTCGCTCGAGTCGCAAACCCAAGACGCACCGCATTCCAAACCCCATTGATGAAAACATCGGCCCATTTTTCTCACCGCCAAAAGCACCTCCCGAGCATCCAAAACAGCCCTCCTTCCCTGCTCACTCCTGTCTTCACACCACCCCACTTTTTTCCTGCACCAAGCAAACTCACATCCGCAGCCATGAGGACTCGTCAAGCAATTCTCCTCTCAGCGCTCGCTCTCCTAGGTACCTGTCACCTTTCTGCAAATACGCTCCGCTAGGCAATCTCTCCCGTGCTAACGGTTTGCGTTCCTCGCTTTCATGCGTCTCGTTCTTGCAGCCCTGGTCGCTGTGGCGGACGCGCAGTGCACGTCGACTTTCGAGAGTTGCGATTTTTTCTTCCAGGGCTTCCGCGCCAAGCCGCCCACTTTTGTCCTCTCCAGGCGCCAGGTCAACCAGCTTCTCAGCTCGCCCATCCTCCACAGGTGCGCGTTACGCCCGCCTTGCAGGTCGCCAATCGTCGTTTCCTTGCTCGGCTATGGCTTGATATCGCATACTTCGTCTCTAAATGGTTGTCGGTGCGTGGTTTGGCGGTGTGCAGGAAGGGATTCCCCGTGATCACCGCCAACAACAATGGCAACCGTAGCTGCGAGGTAACACCGCAAGCCCTTCCCTTAACCTCGTTTTCGCAGCTTCGCCAATTGGCCTCACCGCCTATTCAGTTGTTTATTTCACGCTTCTCGCGTCCCCATTTGGACCTCATTTTTCTGAATGATAACCCGAGCTTACTCTTGCTTCCGCACTTGCCCGTTTGCTGCGCGCGATCCCCAACAGGTGGGCCCCAAGTGCAGCCCGACGTTCTTCTTCCGTAACCAGTACCCCGGCCCGCTCTACGTCAACCGTGCCAACCGCCTCGCCGCGCACCCCATCACGACCGAGAATATCATGGTGAACTCTCCTGCCCGCGCCCTCGCGCTCCCTTTGCGCCTCGCTCTGCGCACTATCCCCCTTGTTAGCGCGCGTTCTCGTCGAGACGCCAAAGGTTTTCGGTTGTTTCTGTTGTCATCGACTCTTCGTAATCCGTTTTTGTTTCTCTCCCCGACTGGCTGCGTGCGCATGTGCCGTGTGGCGTTAACGCGACTCGCGTGTGGCTCGCGTACGGCATGCGCGTGGCGTGCGTGTGTGGCGCGCGTGCGGCGAGCAGCAATACCAGGGCAAGTGCATCCTGCTGTACATGGACAATCTGCAGATGAACCAGATGGGCTGGCTCAACCCCAACGACAACAAGAAGGGCTTCCCCGAGGTCAGTGCCGCTGCGCCTCTCCTGAACCCCGCTTCGTGCGCGGATACCGGGCCATGACACTCTTGCAATTGTTCAGCGTTGTTATCATATGGTGCATCGCGTCGGCCTCGTCGCCTCTTGTTTTTGTCCCTGCCACTCGGTTTGACGCTCGTTCTTATCTCCGTGCCTCTCGCTGCCCTCTCTCTCACGACAGAACCGTCGGTGCATCGTGTACTATACGAGGGTGGGGAGGAAGTAGCGGCTGTCGTTTGTTATTGATGTGGTGGAGAAGGGGCATCTCGAAGATGATTGCGTTGCGTCCGTTGGTAGCCTGGCAGACGTGGGTTTGATGGTCAGTGGGTTTTGGAAAGTACACTATACTGGGTTTTGGAAAGTATAGGGGGCTTTGTTACGCAGCTAGAGCTGCTTGCTGTTACACGGAATAAACGCGTTTGGCTTCTCAGCCAGAGGCTAAATCTAGGGCTGCTTATATTGTTACAGTTCGTCATTTAGTTGTGTTAAACTAAAGCTCAATATTAAGGATGGGTGAGAGTTCGGCAGCAAGCTGCTTGGCCGACTGGAATGTTATTCCTGTCATCCCCACGCCTCGTGCTGCTAGCACATTCGACTCCCTGCATGTCGAGAAACGTGGAAATGCAGTTGCACACAGAATGTAGAAACGTGGAATCAATGTTGCTGAGGAGGGGAATGATGTGATGGGTGGAAAGAGGGACAAACGGCCAATCTGAGTATTGGGGAGTGTCAAATGGGGCTGGGAGCAAGAGAGGTAGGAGGAAGGGCGGTGCACCTGTCATCAATGAAGATGCATGTGGAGGGGTCAACAGTGAGGGTTGCCAGCGCTGCTTCATACGCCTCGGGAGACGGCTTGCGCACACCTGCCCATGCATCCATGCATGCATGGTGAGCGATAGTGAGATGGATGGCATTACAGGCTTGAGCAAGAGGCTCAGGCACGAAGTGTTTTGATGTTCTTGCAGTGAGGGATGAAGGCGATGTGGCTCATTGCATGAATGCACATCATACACCCATGCACCACCACACATCCATGGACCATCGCACTCCCATGCACCACCACACACCCATGCACCATCACACACCCATGCACCATCAAACACCCATGCACCACCACACACCCATGCACCATCACACACCCATGCACCACCACACACCCATGCACCATCACACACCCATTCACCATCACACACCCATGCACCATCACACACCCATGCACCACCACACACCCATGCACCATCACACACCCATGCACCACCACACACCCATGCACCACCACACACCCATGCACCATCACACACCCATGCACCATCACACACCCATGCACCATCAAACACCCATGCACCACCACACACCCATGCACCACCACACACCCATGCACCACCACACACCCATGCACCATCACACACCCATTCACCATCACACACCCATGCACCATCACACACCCATTCACCATCACACACCCATGCACCACCACACACCCATGCACCACCACACACCCATGCACCACCACACACCCATGCACCATCACACACCCATTCACCATCACACACCCATGCACCATCACACACCCATGCACCACCACACACCCATGCACCATCACACACCCATGCACCATCACACACCCATGCACCATCACACACCCATGCACCATCAAACACCCATGCACCACCACACACCCATGCACCACCACACACCCATGCACCACCACACACCCATGCACCATCACACACCCATTCACCATCACACACCCATGCACCATCACACACCCATTCACCATCACACACCCATGCACCACCACACACCCATGCACCACCACACACCCATGCACCACCACACACCCATGCACCATCACACACCCATTCACCATCACACACCCATGCACCACCACACACCCATGCACCATCACACACCCATGCACCACCACACACCCATGCACCACCACACACCCATGCACCATCACACATCCATGCACCATCACACACCCATGCACCACCACACACCCATGCACCATCACACACCCATGCACCACCACACCCATGCACCACCACACACCCATGCACCACCACACACCCATGCACCATCACACACCCATTCACCATCACACACCCATGCACCATCACACACCCATGCACCACCACACACCCATGCACCATCACACACCCATTCACCATCACACACCCATGCACCATCACACACCCATGCACCACCACACACCCATGCACCATCACACACCCATGCACCACCACACACCCATGCACCACCACACACCCATGCACCATCACACACCCATGCACCATCACACACCCATGCACCATCAAACACCCATGCACCACCACACACCCATGCACCACCACACACCCATGCACCACCACACACCCATGCACCATCACACACCCATTCACCATCACACACCCATGCACCATCACACACCCATGCACCACCACACATCCATGCACCATCACACACCCATTCACCATTGCACATGGCAAAGCGCACCCATGTGGCAGGAGACGAAGGTCCAGTGCAGGTAGCGTGAGAGGCGCAGCTTGTCCTCTATCATTTGGTACCTGCATGCCATGCCATGCATGCACGTACAGCGGGATATGTTCAAACATGCATGGCGTTTATGTTGCACACATGTGGAGCAGTGGGACATGCAGAGAGGGACATGCGCACATGTAACACCAACCCTGCGACTCATGGCTGTTGGTGATTGAACAGAGGGCACACTCGGGAAGCATCCTAGTGGGAGTGAACACGCAAGGTGGGTGAACAAGGAGAGCCGGAGAGGAAGCTAGCGACAAAAGAGAGAGAGGGAAAGAGGGAACGGGGGAAGGAGGATGGAAAAGGTGGAGAGGGAGAGTATGGGGAGGCTGGAGGTGAGAGGGAGGGTACCAGGGGGGGTAGTTGGTGAAGGCATGGGTGGCAAAGCCGTGAGCGTTGAGGGCAGCGAGCAAGGGCTCCATGCCCTCCACCCACTCGTACGCCCCCTGCATCGTTGCCTTCAGCCCTGCCAGTGGCAGCAGCACACACACGAGGCAGCGAGACAGGGTGTGACAGCAGCTTTGGTGGCGGCATGGTGAGAGGCATGGCTGCACGATGAGGAGCAGTGATGCACACAGAGGCGTGGCGAGGCAGGGGTGCAGAGGAGCAGCAAGGTGGGGGAAATCAGCCCCCACTGGAGAGCTTGCAACAACCACTCCTCCGTGCTGCTATTTTCCACATTCCACGCATCCCTCCCCCTCCCCCCCTTTCCCGCTCCTCTCTTGTGAGTGCATTATGTGGCGGCGTGCAAGGCAGTGGGGGCAGGGAGGGGAGGAGCGTGCCTTGCAGGTCGAAGTGACGGCCGTCAGCAAAGAAGCGCTGGTGCAGCTGGTGCTCTGATATGCGGCCGCACTCAAAGTCCACCCACGCCGTTGGGTGCTTCTGCTGCAGCAACTCCGGCATGGTCATCCTGCCATGGGGGGAGTGGTGGAGGGAGAGAGAACGCGAGGAAGGGGAGGGTGGGGCAGGTGTGAGAGAAAGGATCGACGAGGGGCGAGGGCGAGAGAGGGTGTGTGTGAGGCAGGGCGGGATGACCAGGTGAGGATGGAAGGTAATGGTGGGAAGACCTCGTGGGAGGGTAGGGTGCAACGAGGGCAGGCTAAGGGTTTGTAGGAGCAGTGGCATGCATTCATGGGCGTGATGGAGGTGCGTGTAGGGAGGCGAGAACGAGGCAGGAGGGCACATGCAAACAGGGTTGATGCATGTGCGGCAAGAGGTGGATATCAGAAGTAGTAGGAGTACGGCCTAGGCTTAGTAGCCTAGGCCACAGTAGGACTAGTAACGAGGAGCCAAGTACGAGCTAGGAATGTGTGCAGGAACAGAATTGAGAAGGAGTGATTGAACTAGCAAGCAGCAGGATACAAATAGCAAACCCTAAGGGGCTGTACTCACTATTGAGTACCCCACTGCAGGCTACACAAACAACATATTCTGACACACCCCCATAGCCAAAGTGGGGTGTAATCAGCACAATGAGCAGTCATAGCAATAGTTCATAATTATCAGCAAAGCTAGAGGCTATCACAGAGGGCAAGTGAGGAGGAGGAGGGACTATGAAAGGAGAGAAGATGGGAGGCGACGACTGAAGCTGCAGACACACGGGCAACAGAAGCGGCTGACACAGTGGCGGCTGACACAGTGGCTACCGAGACAGAGCGCCCCGGAATACTGGAGTAACTGGCTCTGCGGCTACGACGAGCGGCAGAAGCAACGGACCCACGGGCGACTGGTGCAGCAGGCTCTCAGTGGCTACCGAGACAGTGCGTCCCGGAATACAGGAGTAACAGGCTCTGCGGCTGCGACGAGCGGCAAGAGCAACGGACCCACGGGCAACAGGTGCAGCAGGCTCTCTGAGCTACCAGGACAGTGCGCCCCGGACTACAGGTGCTGCGGACGACAAGACAGCAACCTCCACTCAACCTCCCCCGACCGTCCCACACCCCTCTCACACACCCCCTGCTGAAACCCTAGCTCCACTCCCACGGCACCCCCCTTAAACCCTAAACCCTCGGCTCCCACACACCCACCCCCCTCAGCGGCAGCTGCAGCAGTGGGAGACGGAGGAGGAGGAGGAGCTTCAGGTTACCCACACCGGTCACCCCCATGCTCGCCACCCCACACCCCCACCACCGCGGAACGTACGGCGGATTGGGAGCAATGGGCAGCACGGGGGGGGGGGGGGGGGGGGCTGCAGGGACGGGCCGCGGGCTGCTGCAGGTGCGGGCTGCTCCAGGGGCGGCTGCTGCAGGTGCGGGCTGCTCCAGGGGCGGCTGCTGCAGGCACGGGCTGCTCCAGGGGCGGCTGCTGCAGGTGCGGGCTGCTCCAGGGGCGGCTCCAGGGGCGGCCGCTGCAGGTGAAGGTAGGAGGACGGGGGGGGAAGAACGCGGCCCCCAGGGCGCCCCGACGGCCGACGAGAAAGGGAGCCGCGCGGCCCCCCCAGGGCCGCCGCGACGGGCGACGGGAAGGGCGCCGCGCGGGCCCCCAGAGCCGCCGCGACGGGCGACGGGAAGGGCGCCGCGCGGGCCCCCCCGGAGCGCCACGACGGGCGACGGGAAGGGGAGGCCGCGCGGCCCCCGTGGTCGCCACGACGGGCGACGAAAAGGGCGCCGCGCGGGCCCCCCCGGAGCGCCACGACGGGCGACGGGAAGGGGAGGCCGCGCGGCCCCCGTGGTCGCCACGACGGGCGACGAGAGGGGACCGCGCGCGGGCCCCCTTGGTCGCCACGACGGACGACGGGAGGGGAGGCCGCGCGGGCCCCCGTGGTCGCCACGACGGACGACGGGAGGGGAGGCCGCGCGGGCCCCCGTGGTCGCCACGACGGACGACGGGAGGGGAGGCCGCGCGGGCCCCCGTGGTCGCCACGACGGACGACGGGAGGGGACCGCGCGCGAGCCCCCCGTGGTCGCCACGACGGGCGACGGGAGGTGAGGCCGCGCGGGCCCCCGGTAGCAGTAGAAACGACGGGCGCCACGGAGGGGTAAGCCGCCACGCGTCCCGAGCGCGCGGCGGGCAGAAACCCTAATTTCGGCGCCGCGCACCACGGGGCGCGCGGCGGACAGTACGGCAGCAGAAGCGGGTGGTGGGCCCATACACAGGAAGGCGGCAGACATGCCGCCCTCTGATACCATGTCAGATATAGTAGGAGTACGGCCTAGGCTTAGTAGCCTAGGCCACAGTAGGACTAGTAACGAGGAGCCAAGTACGAGCTAGGAATGTGTGCAGGAACAGAATTGAGAAGGAGTGATTGAACTAGCAAGCAGCAGGATACAAATAGCAAACCCTAAGGGGCTGTACTCACTATTGAGTACCCCACTGCAGGCTACACAAACAACATATTCTGACAGTGGAGAGGGCAGGGAGGGGCAGGGCGGAAGGGGATGGCAGGGAGGGGAGGGAGGGGAGGGGGAGCGGGAGGGAGAGAGAGAGGGGTGGTGGGGGGAGAGGGAGAGGGAAGGAGGAGAGACGGAGAATGAGAGAAGGGGAGGGGAGAGGGAGAGGAAGAAATGAAGGGGAAGAGGGAGAGGCGAGGCGGGAGGGGATGAAAGGAAGGTTATGGTGGGACGGCGGGGTTTCTAGGAGCAGCGATATTATGTGTGAGGAGGAGAGAACGAGGGACGCCGGCACACGTGAGCACGCATGCGTGGCGAGAGGCGGGGAGGGCGGGGAGGGCGGGGAGGGCAGGGAGGGCAGGGGAGGGCAGGGGAGAGCAGAGGGCGGGGGAAGGCAGAGGAGTACTGGAAGAAGGCAGGGATGTGGTGGTAGAAGGGGTCGCGCACTAGCGTGTCCATCACGTCAAACAACAGCACCACCTCGCCGCCCCTGCTGCCACCCTCGCTGCTGCTGCTGCTGCTGCTCGTGCTCGTGCTGTTGGTGCTGGTAGCGCTGCTGCTGCTGCTGGTGGTGCTGGTGCTGGTGCTGTGAGGAGTGGCGCTGGATGCATTGATGGGTGCCGCTCTGCTGCTGTTGTTGCTCCACGCGCCACCGCTCGCCCTGCTCCCACCTGCACACCGCACAGCGCTCCACATGAAAGGTGCCCGCACAAACCACATGCAATCACGCGCCACGCCATGCCATGCCATGCTATGCGCACAGCAACGTGCATTTCAGTCTCAAGCGGCGCGCATTTCGTCCAAAGCAAGCCACAAGCACCCGGTCTGCCCCGCCTCCTCCTGCGCCATCCTTCAACTGCATTCCGCTCTCCTCCCCCCCACCCCTCACGCATCTCCCCCTCACCTCGCGCTTGTCGCGCCATGCCCATTCCCCGCCACCCGCGCCTGCCTGCTCCCCCCCCAACCAGTCCACCGTCTCTCCTCTCCGCGGGCTCCGCTCCGCGCGCCTCCGCTATCGCCGCGCACGGGACGGGGCAGGCGTTGGCGTGGGGAAGGCGGACGTCCATGGGGCGGGATATTAATGTGGCGGAAGGACGGTGGAGACGCGGCGCGGAGGGCGGCAAGGTGAGGGCGCGGAGAAGCATGGTGGCGGCGCAGCCACGAGTGCTTAGAGTGCCGACACGAGACGCCAGCGGGGCGCGCAGGTTTTGACTGAGACCGTTGCGTAGGATTGAGAACTTCTGCTTGCCACTGCCTCTTTGCTGTTAGTTATAAGCAAATGAATACAGCATCGCATTGCAAAGTTTTGATCCATAGAGAATAGTTTAGTTATATGGTGTGAAGAATAGACATTTAGCATAATTACCGGGATATACGCATATATGGGATAGGATTATGACGTGGAAAAAACAAAAAACCAATGGACAAAAGAAATGATTAATGATGATTTGATTGAATATTAAAAACTATAGTTGGTTGACGTATGTGCTCCATGACATAGGTGAGCCGCCAATCGCTGTCCCGGTCCTTTTCGTTGACAACAGGACTATGATCCTCCTACGGTATGTCAGGAGCCTATACCAGAAGGCAGAGTGAAACATCCAGTTGCAATACTTCCTGTTGTGTGAGGTGCAGCAGCGCGACTAGGGATGCTTAGTACACTTAGCCTCAGGGGCCAACATTATTAATATTTTCACTCAGGCGCTCCCGCCTCATGATAATCCTGCACAGCTTGGCCTTGTTACTTCACTCGTTACTTTATTACTTGTATGCTGTATTGTATGACGTTCAATGAGTGGCATCGCAATGAATCCCAGTTAAGAAATAGAGCTGGCAACTATCATTTTTGGGTAGCATACCGGCTTCTGTGTACTATTTAATCAATTGTGAAAAAATTGTGCACTCCTAACAGTAGCAAATGAAGCACGGAGTATAGAGTATCAAAACGAAAAGGCGGATTGACACGAAAGGTCGCGTATGGTTACGAGACATCTGGACCGTCGCAGCAAATAGTAGCCGCAGTCGAGGATTCCGCTGAAAACAGTTCGTAACCGTCTGGAGTCGCACGGTCGGATTTCGCTGCAAGAAGGGAATGTACCCCTTATAGTATTTAGCTAGTGTTACGATATGAAGTTTTATGAGTAAGGCATTCCTGTACGCTGCAGGAAGCCGACTCTACCGAGTACGAAGTCGAGGAGTCAGAAGAGTCGAAGCGACACAGCAACCGTCTGACCAAGACCGATGCAAGCAGAAACATTTGAAATGAAAAGAGCGGGAATGTCAGATTTACATGACATAGCTACTGTAGGCTATAGTGGGGTAGCACATATGGGGTACAGTTTTCTAGGGTTTACATTTGTACCCAACTTTCCCTTAGTCAATTCATTCCTCGTTTATTCTCATGGTATCGAGCAGGTTCCCTAGTGGGAACGATTCCTAGGGCCCACCACCACGAAATTATTTTTTTTCCTGCCCGGAGCGCGTTTTGCTCCGGCCCGAGTCGCGCCGCCCCTACGGCCCTTCGCGCCGCCCGTCGCGCCCGTCGCGCCCGTCGCGCCCATCGCCACCTTACGCGGCCCCGCCACCTACCTTCGCGGCCCCGCCACCTGCCTGTGCGGCCCCGCCACCTACCTTCGCGGCCCCGCCACCTAACTGTGCGGCCCCGCCACCTACCTCCGCGGCCCCGCCACCTACCTGTGCGGCCCCGTCACCTACCTCCGCGGCCCCGCCACCTACCTGTGCGGCCCCGCCACCTACCTTCGCGGCCCCGCCACCTCACTGTGCGGCCCCGCCACCTACCTCCGCGGCCCCGCCACCTACCTGTGTGGCCCCGCCACCTACCTCCGCGGCCCCGCCACTTGCCTGTGCGGCCCCGCCATCTACCAGCGGCCCCGCCACCTACATGCGGCCCCGCCACCTACTAGCGGCCCCGCCACCTACCTGCGGCCCCGCCACCTACCTTTGCGGCCCCGCCGCCTCCTCTCAGCGGCCCCGCCGCCTCCTCCCAGCGGCCCCGGACGCCGCCCTCTCAGCGGCCCCGCCGAGCCGCCCAGCAGCCAAGCCGCCCAGCCGCCGAGCCGCCCGGCAGCCGAGCCGCCCAGCAGCCGAGCCGCCCAGCAGCCGAGCCGCCCAGCAGCCGAGCCGCCCAGCAGCCGAGCCGCCGAGCCGCCCAGCAGCCGAGCCGCCGAGCCGCCCAGCAGCCGAGCCACCGAGCCGCCCAGAAACCGAGCCGCCGAGCCGCCCTACAGCCGAGCCACCCGAACCGCCCTGTCCGGTAAGAGCAGCGCCCCTTTCACAGCACTGCCCTCACCCTACTGTTTGCGCTGCTAGTCTACTGCTGTCATGGCTACCCCTAGTGTCCTCGCTTTTGACGCTGAGGGTCGGGCCATTGACTTTGACGTCTGGATAGATGACCTGCAGCTTTTCTTACAGTGTGACAGGGCAGACGGCCTCTCCCTCTTTGACCTCACTTCTGGTGCCTCTCCTGCCCCCGCTGCTGCTGCTGATGCCACGGTTCGCTCCCAGTGGGCCACGCGCGATGCTGCTGCACGTCTTGCTGTGCGTCGCCACCTACCTACCTCTGAGCGTGCGCACTTTAGCCAGTACAAGAGTGCTCAGACCTTGTACGACGCTGTAGTTGCGCGCTACTCCTCCCCTGCCACTGCTGCACTTAGCCGCCTCATGCTACCGTACCTCTTCCCTGACCTTGCTGCCTTTCCCACAGTCGCTGACCTCATTACGCACCTCCGCACTAGTGACACTCGCTACCGCGCTGCGCTTCCTGCAGAGTTCTGCGCCAAGAACCCCCCCCCCCATGTACATCACCCTCTACTACATAGTCACCCGGCTCCCTGACTCCCTTCGCGTAGTCAGGGACCACTTCCTCTCTGTTTGCCCCACCACTCTCACCGTTGACCTCCTCGAGAAGTCCCTCCTAGCAGCAGAGAAGAGCATAGTAGCTGTAGGAGCCTCTCATGGTGACCCTCGCACCCCCATCTTTGAGGGGTGTTCCCCCTCCCCCCTTTTGCCCTCTGTTGCCTCTGCTGCTGCGGCCGACCTCGTTGGGCTTGAGTCGGTCGGTGCGGCGTCTACCCCTAGCGGGAGACGCCGCCCTGGCAAGGGCAAGGGGGGCAGGGGCACTGGAGGAGCTAGCGGGGGCGGTGGAGGCGGCGGTGGAGGCGGTGGAGGGGGTGGGGGTGGCGGTGGGGGTGGTGGCGGGGGTGGAGGTGTCGGTGGTGGTAGTGGAGGCGGAGGCGGCGGCGGCGGTGGCGGTGGGAGCGGAGGTGGCGGCGGTGGAGGAGGAGGCGGCGGAGGAGGTGGAGCTGGTCGGGGTGGCGCTGCGCAGAGAGTCGGCTCCGGTGGTGGTCAGCGCCAGCAGCAGCAGCAGCAGCAGCAGCAGCAGCGCACTCGTGACATCCCCTCCCCTCAGCAGCTCCGTGAGTGGTACGCTGCACGCCAGAGGGGTGGGGGTACTGGTCCGTGCACCTACGTCCTCCGCACCGGCGACCGCGCGGGTGAGCAGTGCGGGGGTGCGCACTCCACCCAGCGCTGCTTTGGCCGCCTGACGGACGCTTGGCGTCACCAGTTCCCTGAGGCCACTGAGATCCCCCGCTGGGGTGAGCTGTCTAGGGCGGGTGTGGCTGTCTTTGACCTTGACTTTGATGCTATTCTTGCTGCCATGTATACTGTGACTATTAGTGATGAGGGTGACTGTTACCGGTGTTTTCCGCCCGACTTGGGCATTGAGACTGCTGCTCTAGGTACTGGTGAGGCTACTGCTCTAGGTGCTAGCGAGGCTGCTGCTCTAGGTGCGTCTGCTCCCTCAGGTGCTGGTGAGTCTGCTCTCTCAGGTTCTGCGTCGGCCTCGGCCTCCCACACCTTCACCCTTGACTCGGGGGCTTCTCGCTCCTTCTTTCGAGACCGCACCACACTCACGCCGCTTGGCCGGCCAGTTGCGGTCTCTGTGGCAGACCCCTCTGGGGGTCCTGTCCTTGCTCACTTCTCCACTGTCCTCCCGTGTCCGGCGGCCCCCTCTGGCACCCTGTCTGGTCTTTACCTCCCCTCGTTCTCTACGAACTTGGTGAGTGGTGCTGACCTACAGGATGCGGGGGTTCACCAGTTCACTCCTGGGAGTCAGCGGGTGACCCACTGCACGGACGCTCGGACTGGCCGACACCTGGCCACGTTTACCCGTCGGCCGGGGTCGAGCCTGTACACCCTGACCACTGCGTCTCCTCCAGTCACTGCGTCTGGTCAGGTAGCTGCGTCAGGTCAGGTGTTTGCTGCAGCGTCCAGGTCTGGTCCTGAGTCTGCCCCCTGTTCGTGTCGCCTCCTGTCTCACGAGACTCTCCTCTGGCACCACCGCCTTGGTCACCCCTCCCTGCTTCATCTCCGAGGCATGGCCTCCCGTGTCCTTGTCTCTGGTCTTCCCCGGTCCCTCCCTCCCCTTCCTCCGGGGCCTGGCCCTACCTGCGTCCCCTGTGTCGAGGGGCGGCAGCGGGCTGCCCCTCACTCCTCCCAGTTTCCTCCGACAGAGGCCCCGCTGCAGACGCTTCACATGGACGTGTGGGGCCCGGCCCGCGTCCGTGGACAGGGTCACGAGCGCTACTTCCTGCTGGTGGTTGACGACTACTCGCGTTACACCACAGTCTTCCCCTTGCGCAGCAAGGGT